GGTCATCAAAGAAACGCAAATCAAAACTACATTGAGATACCATCTCAAGCCAGTTAGAATGGCGATCATTAAAAAATCTGGAAACAACAGATGCGGGAGAGGATGTGGAGAAACAGGAACACTTTTACACTGTTGGTGGGAAGGTAAATTAGTTCAACCATTGTGGAAGACAGTGTGGCGATACCTCAAGGACCGAGAAATAGAAATTCCATTTGTCCCAGCAATCCCATTACTGGGTATATATCCAAAGGATTATAAATCGTCCTACTATAAGGGCACGTTCACACGACTGTTCATTGCAGCACTGTTCACAATAGCAAAGACCTGGAACCAACCCAAATGCCCATTAATGATAGACTGGACAGGGAAAATGTGGCACATATACACCATGGAATATTATGCAGCCATCAAAAACGATGAGTTCATGTCCTTTGTAGGGACGTGGATGAACCCGGAAACCATCATTCTCAGCCAACTGACACAGGAGCAGAAAATCAAACACCACATGTTCTCACTCATAGGTGGGTGTTGAACAATGAGAACACACGGACACAGGGTGGGGAGCATTACACACTGGGGTCTGTTGGGGGAAAATAGGGGAGGGACAGTGCGGGGTGGAGTGTTGGGGAGAGATAGCATGGGGAGAAATGCCAGATATAGGTGATGTGGAGGAAGGCAGCACATCATTGCCACGTGTGTACCTATGCAACAATCTTGCATGTTCTTCACATGTACCCCCAAACCTAAAATGCAATAAAATAAAAATAAATAAAAATTTTTAAAAATTTTGTGTTCAAATAGACATTGTAGGAATTTCCCAGGGATGTTCATAAAACACCAAGTTCATTTGTAGACTTAGCATAACTAACACATAATGTTGAATATATTTAATAATCTTAAAGTATTATATTTCTAAAGATTTAATTTGTTGTCTGGGCTCAGTGGCTCAGGCCTATAATCCCTGCACTTTGGGAAGCCAGGGCAGGTGGATCACAAAGTCAAGAGATCAAGACAATTCTGGCCAAAATGGTGAAACTCTGACTCTACTAAAAAATACAAAAATCAGCCGGGCATGGTGGCATGCATCTGTAATCCCACTTACTCGGGAGGCTGAGGCAGGAGAATTGCTTGAACCTGAGAGGCAGAGGTTGCAGTGAGCCGAGATCACCCTATTGCACTCAAGCCTGGTGACAAAGCAAGACTCCGTCTCAAGAACAACAACAAAAAAAGATTTAGCTTGTTATCAGTAACTTAGGTTCTTAGGAAAAATACAGTCTCAATGCTAAAAAAATACACTTTCAGTTTCATTCTGGATTCTAAAGTGATTTCTTTTTTATTTTTTCTCCTTTAGAATTATTAGCATGTAAGACATGTGATTCGTAGTGCAAAAACTGCATGTATTAGATTGGAAGAGACCTTAAAATTTATCTAGCCCAATGACTGATCAAAGGCTTGAAATCTTACAGATCAGAGGATAGGAGAAACACATAAGGTCTTGAACTTTCTGGCCAAAATTCCCAGTGAATACAGAGCAGAGAGGTCTTCACCAGTGACACAATCTCTGTTATCATAAAAAATGTTTCCCCAGTAATGAGTTTCCTCCATCATCTGATTTTAAAATCATCTGAGCAGCCACTTAAGATGCTTTACATATTATTTTCAGTCATTAATAATGCTGTCACATGAAAGTGCTTCTCTCTGCCATCACTAGGCTCCTCTGCCAGCCACCTCCTTTAGCTCACTGTGCTGCCATTTATCAATATTCTGCATTTATGTTTTTCAATCCATTTGGGAGTTCCACTGCATAACAATTTGAAATATAGAAATATGTTGTGGTGATGAATTTTAATAGTTTCAATCAATTCTGGGATGACTTGGTTCTTTGAATATCTATATATTTATCTATGTGTAAAATATACATCTCTATATCTATTTCTGTCTCAGTCTCTAGATCAACATTTATAAAAATCCTGGTTATATTTGCAATGATAAACTGTATCAGGCTTTATAGAAATTTTCAGAGAATTTATACTAATCTCTAGAATTTTGCAGAAATGAGTATTTTTTTTCTTTTTTTTTTCTTTTTTTTTTTTTTTTTTTTTTTGAGATGGAGTTTCACTCTTGTTACCCAAGCTGTAGTGCAATGGCTGGATCTTGGCTCACTGAAACCTCTGCCTCTTGGATTCAGGCAATTCTCCTGCCTCAACCTCCTGAGTAGCTGGGATTACAGGCACGTGCCACCATGCCCAGTTAATTTTTTGTATTTTTAGTAGAGATGGGGTTTCACCACGTTGACTAGGATGGTCTCAATCTCTTGACCTCGTGATCCACCCACCTCAGCCTCCCAAAGTACTGGGGTTACAGGTGTGAGTCACAGTGCCCAGCCCAGAAATGAGTAATTTTTTAAGGTGGTCATAGAAAATAAAATAATAATAAACATTCCATTCACTTAGCTCCAACAAACCAAACTAATAACAATTAATATAAGGGGAAACTTGCATGATTTATATAAATGAAATGCAAATTTTCACTGGGGACCATTGATTAATTATGAATACTAACGATGTTCTTAGTACTCTTCTGGACTCTCAAGATTCAGGATTGAAACAAATTCAAAGACCATGCCAACATGAGTTATGCCATGGTGGAGAAAATTAGAAAATAAATAGGAAATGTAGCTTCTGGCAGTGATAAATGCTGTGAAGAAAAATAAAGCAAAGGAAAACAATGGGCTATTAAAGACATGGGACAGAAAGAGGTTAAAAAAAAAAAAAAGTCATCTTTGGTGAGGAAATTTCAGTAGAGCCCTGAAATGAAAGGCATAAACCTGATAGATTAGATAAACTGACACAGGGAATTATAATTGCTACAACCTTTCTGTAAAGCAATTTGGCTATCTCTATATAATGCATGGGAGTCCACCAGTATAATTAGGGATTAATTTTGGGAAGGCAGAGCTAAAGAGGGAACAACGAGTATAATGAACCTGAAGCATGCTATAAAAAATAAATCACATGAAATAGAAGGCCTGAAATATATTCTTTATTGAAAGCACTAAGTGTTGTAAAGATGTTAATATTCACAAAATCAATGCATACATTTATCCCAATAATAAATTGATGTGTGGAGTTAAAAAGTACCCTCTATTGCCTCTCTCCCCACATGAGAAAAGATAGATTCAAAACCTGTCAAAGTGAATGCAAAGTGAAAGAAAAAAAAATTCTGGTAAAACAGGAAAAATAATTTTCCACAAGAAAATAATAATTGTATACTCGAACAATTGTCTGTTAAATGCCGTTATGAAAGTGCTATAAGCAAAATAACAAGTTTGACAATAAAAGAAACATGCATATCAATACAAAAGAAGGAAATTGGTATCAGGTAAAACTGTATATAATTTAGCACAAGGTGGTATCCCATATTCATGCAAAATAACAATTTTAATATGTAGGTGACTGACAATTCATTACTTAAAAGGAAAAGAAAAAGATATTCTTATAAAAAACAAACGCGTAAATCCAACTCACAAAAGAAATATAATTCACTAAAAATAATCTACAAGAAATATTCAAATAAATTAAAATGCAAGTAAAGTATACCTTTTGCTAACTCATAAACTCTCTCTATAAATTAAAATGAAAAACTAGCTACTATTAGCAATAGTTCATGATGAATTAGATAAACTACTATTGGGAGAGTTGTCACAAACTTTTTATAATGCAATTTGTCTATCTCTACATAAGGAACATTTGGTAACATTCCTTTTGCCCCTCAAATAATACTTTTAGAAATTTATGATAAGTAGATTACAAAGAAGAATGCATAGATGTGTATATATATTTGGTCATTAATTATTCCAAACAAACATGCCAAAGAGTGAATAATTATATGAATCATAGTTTAGACACAAAGGGCTATTATACAGTCATTAAATTTGTATTTTTGTTAAGTAGTAAAATGATAATTTTTCAGATTAAAATATTTATATAATGATTTCACTTAATTTTCACAAGAGCATATTCTGTATTCCTGTGTTTTTAATGAAAAAGATGATGTTTATGTACGGCAAATAGTTTTCCCAAATCACACAAGCAAATTAATATGAAGTCTAGATCAGACTGAATGTTAAATAGACATTTATAAATGTATTCCTCTATTTCTTAAAACAATACTTTATTTAAAAAGAAAAATTACAACTATTAGTATATAAAGAGTAGCCAGATATAAGTACATGTATTCATTTATATGTGATATTTATGTGTTTATACAGGTATGTGTTTCCATTCCTTTTACGTTATTGACATGGGAATCACACTCTAAATATTACTGCATTATTTCATAAGTGCATTTGTGTATTATATATTGAAGGAATGGAGATTAGAATAAAGTTACAGCAATTATACATAGGTGATTTTCTTAATGTTGTTTTTAATCACCCTAAGCTAAAATTGTTAAATTCTTCAAAAGAATTACAACAAATGTAACACATTATTGTTCAGTATACACAAATGAATTTTTCCTGTCATTTTTTAAATAGAAAGTCTTTCCAGAATACTGAGTGAGACTATATATCCCACTACTACATTTTTTGTGGACATACCTGTATATGATTACTTACAGCATATTTTAAAATGTGTTCAAATATCTATTCCTCCTCTAATTCTAGACTGCTTTAGAGTAGTTTCCATAATATCCTTCTTTTCCTTCACTTTAACTCCCTGTTAGCACATAAGTGGTATTCAATAAATACTAAGTCAAGTATTAACTTTCCAAAGGGTCTTTAATTTGCATATATATTTAGATTCGATTATATGCTGTTAACAATATTTGAGAATTTTTACTTCTCAAATAAAAATAAAAATTGTTATCAAAGTAACAATTTCATACTGATCTAATTAAAATGTTACATAAAATATTCATTTATGTTAATTTCCTGTATAACTAATGTTGTAGATACTAAATGCAAACTTTAATTTTACTATAAAAATAAGTAAGTGAAGGTTCAGTTTGGCAGCACATATACTAAAATGAGAATGATACAGAAAAGGTTAGCATGGCCCCTGTGCAAGGATAACATAAATATTTACAAAACATTTCATATTTAAAAACAAATAAATAAATGAGCTAGTGAGTGCTCTATTAGTCCCTTATAATACCTTTAGTCATGATAGAATTGAACCATTAGTTTGGATAAGCTGAATCTCCAAGTTGGTGTTAAATGACCACAATAGCAAAGATTTGAAAAAATTTTAAAAAGCTTTGTGGATTATTATATATTTATAGGAGTATGCTCTAATTATGATAATAATAGCATTTATTCATTTTAAAATATGCAACACATTTTCCTTTAAACAGTGATAGAGAATTGTATATATTTAAGAATTAAAACAGATGATTAACGATTATGATACAATATACAGCACAGGCTGATGTAAAGTAATGGATAATATTTGTTAAAATAATTGTATGCAGGTGCATGAAAATGTAAATGAAGTCCACCTATTTTGTGCATGATGTAATCAAATAAATCTTTGAAAATAATTCTGTTTTATTCAGTTCATATGAAACTTTATTATTTGTTAGAGCAAAACTTCCACATCTAAATATAAACCATATAGATTTTATTTTTAAAGAGACATTTTATAATGCCATTATTATGTAATACAGAAGACAGCATTCTCTGATCATATACAAAAATATTGTAGTAGAAATAGAATGAAAATAAATTTTTGTAAGGTATTTTCTCTTCTTTTTGATGAGTTAAACTATCATTAAGATTCCAAATCACTGAAGAAGTTTATATAAATTCATACACCAAGAGTTCTATACCCTCACCAGGGATGTGTTAGAATGCAAGAATAAGATCAGGATGAAGTCATATATTTTATAAAACTGCCTTCAGTGATTCACTATGACTTTGCAAATTCCTGATTACAACTAATCAGATTACTAGAAAGCAGTATAGAGACTGTTTCTGAATAACACCAATAGGCGTTAGGTGTATGTGTGTGTTTTAAGTGTACAATGAATTGTTATATATAAACATAATCAATAAACATAATCAAATATAGAATATTTCCATTACTCCTCCAAGAAACTCCATACGCATTGTAAGTTGGGTGCCATTTTTCTCCTCAACCCCAAGCCTAGGCAACCACTAATCAAATTTTGTCTCTGTATATTTGTCAATTATGGACATTTTATATAAATGGAAACAGACACTATTTAGACTTTTGTGACTGTTTTCTTTCATTTATTATAATGTTTTCAAAATGTACCCATGTTAATGACCAGTACTTAATTCCTTTTTATTTTCATATAATATTAGATCGTAGAAGTGACCTTATTTTATGTATCTATTAATCATTTAATGGACAATTGTATTGTTTCCATGTTTTCACGATTATGAATAATGCCATGAGGAACTTTTTGTATACATTTTTGTCTGGATGTATATTTTTATTTTTATTTGGTATATACAGATGAGTCGAATTGTCATGTAACATGGTAACTCCGTAATTAACCTTTTGAGAAATGCCCTGCTTTCTAAAGCAGCTGCACACTTCACATCCCCACTAGCAGTGTATGAGGGCTCCAATTTATTTGCACCCTCGTTAACAGTTGTTATTATTATATTTGTGTTTTTTTATTATGGCCACCCTGGTGTGATGACTAATGATATTGGATATATTTTTATGTTTTTAATTAGCAATTTGCTTATCTTTTATAGTGAAATGTCTATTCAAATCCCATGTCCATTTTGCTTTTTATGTACTTTATTATTGAAATGTATGAATATTTATATATTCTATATATGGGTCAATTTTCAGATACACGATTTGCAAATGTATTTGTTTGCTATCATTTAACCACAAAACATTTCAGTTTTGATGATCTATAATTTATCTACTTTTCTTTTGCTTTATGTGTTTTTGATATAATATCAAAAAATGTGTTACCTGATCCAAGGTGACAAAGATTTTCTCACAGAATTTTTTCTAAAAGTTTTATAGTATTAACTGTTACAATTTGGTTTATGATACATTTTGAGTTAAATTTTTAGTGTGGTATGGGGAAGGAGTTCACATTTGCTTATTTATGTATTTTTCAAATGTATATTCAGTTGTCTCAGCACCATTTGTTGAAGGGACCGCTCTTTTCCCATTGAATTGTCATGACATCACTGTAAAAACTAGTTGATTCTAAATTGTAGAGGTTTATTTCTGGACATTGAATTCTATTCAATCAATCTCTACATATATCTGCAGTACAAATTGTCTTGATTATGCTAGTTTTTGGGGGGCGTGGGATTGGTTTGTTTCTTTTGTTTTTTTGTCTTTTCCTCTTGGCTCAGCCTCCTGAGTAGCTGGGATTACAGGAGCTTGCCACCACTCCCGGCTAATTTTTGTGTTTTTAGTACAGATGGGGATTCACCATGATGGCCAGGCTGTTCTTGATTTTTTGACCTCAAGTGATCTACCTGCTTCGGCCTCCAAAGTATTGGAATTATAGGCATAAACCACCAACCCTAGCCTATAATAGTTTTCCAGTAAATTTTGAAATTGGAAATTGTGACCTTTCTAATTTCTATTTAAGGTTTTTTTTTAAAGCTATTTTGAGTCTCTTAAATTTCCATATTAATTTTAGAATAGGCTTGTCACCTTCTGGGACAAAAAAAAAAAAAAAAAAACACCTATCCAGCTATGATATAAATATGTATTATACAGAATCTGTGGATTAATTTGGGGAATATTGCCACTTTGAAAATATTGAGTTTTCTGGAATAAGAACATGGGAAACCTTTCCACTTATTTGTGTCTTTAATTTCTTGAGGTAATATTTTATTGTTTTTAGAGTATGTGTCTTGCTCTTCTATTAAGAAATTTCCAAAGTATTTTATTCATCTGGATACTTTTATAAATAAAATGTCATTTATTTTATTTTTGAATATTTTATTTTAATTTAACGCCCCTACTTTTGGATCAGTCTTCCAACCGACTTTTGATTTTGGGATCCAGAGTAGCAGATTCTCTGGTTTTGGATCAGGCACAGAAGGATTCAGCTTTGGATCAAATAACTCGTCTGTCCAGAGTTTTGGTGGCTGGTGAAGCTGAGCGGTGTTAGAAGGTCTTTCTGTCCCTGGGACCAACTGCATCCTCAGCTTCTTCACTGAGAAATGTTGGAGCAGGCTGTTCAGATGGATGTTGCCATCAAAACATATACACCCAGAAAGAAACAACAGAAACCAAAACTCCAGAGATGCGTGATTATTTGTTTTATATTTCGAGTTGGGTTCCCCACACCGTTATTAAACTGCTGAACTGTTTCCAGAAAAAGAAAAAGAAGTAAGTTACAGAAATAAGTTATTTTGGTTTATTGAACTTGTATTCTAAAACCTTGCTGAAAATACCTGTTGTCTAGTAGATTTCTTAAGATTTTCTATATTCAGTATCATGCTATCTGCAAATAGACATAATTTTACTTCAGCCTCTCCAGTCTATACATTTTATTTATTTTCCTGCCTAATTGCCCTGGCCTGAATCCTCATGTATTGAGTGAAAATGGCAAGAGTGGATATGCTTGGTTTGTGCATGATCCCAGAGTGTAAGCTTTTAGTTGTTCTATGATCTCACGAAGATAGAGTATAAAGTGGTGGGTATTGGAGACTGTAAAGGTTAGCAGGGAGGAAAGGTTGTAGAGAGGTTGATTAATGGGTAGAAAAACAGTTAGATATCGTGGATTTGATTTCAGGCAGCTGCAATAAAGTGAATATTATAATAGAGCCACACAAATTATTTGGTTTAAGATTGTACATAAAAGTTATATACTGTGGTTCGTTAAATGTGTAATTGCACTGTGTATATAAAATATATCTATCTTAATTTAAAAATATTTTATTGCTAAGATTTCCAATGATCATCTCAGCTGATGGAAAGTATTGCCTCAATGTTGATGGCTGCTGACTGGTAAAAGAGTGATTGCTAAAGGTGGGGTGGCTGTAGCAATTTTTAAGATAAGCCAAAAACAAAGTATGCTGAATTGATTGACTCTCACTTTCATGAAAGGTTTCTCCATAGCATGTGACGCCATTTGATAGCCTTTTACCCAGGGTAGAACTTCTTTCAAAACAGTTCTCTCAAGCTCTCTAACTGCTTTAACAAGAAAGTTTATGTAATATTCTAATTCTCTTGTAAGAAAACCTAGGCAAAACCATTCAGGATGTAGGCATAGGCAAGGAATTCATAACTAAAACACAAAAGCACTGGCAACAAAAACCAAAATAGACAAATGGGATCTAATTAAACTTCAAAGCTTCTGCACAGCAAAAGAAACAATCATTAGAGTGAACCAGCAACCAACAGAATGGGGAAAAAATTTTGCAATCTACCCATCTGACAAAGGACTTATATCCAAAATCTACAAAGGACGAAAACAGATTTACAAGAAAAAAAAATGAACCCATTCAAAAGTGGGCAAAGGATATGAACAGACACTTTCAAAAGAAGACATATATGAGGCCAACAAACATATGAAAAAATGCTCATCATCACTGGTCATTATAGAAATGCAAATCAAAACTATATTGAGATATCATCTTACACCAGTTAGGATGGTGATCATTAAAAAATCAGGAGCCAACAGATGCTGGAGAGGATGTGGAGAAATAGAAATTACACTGTTGGTGGGAGTGTAAATTAGTGGAAGACAGTGTGGCAATTCCTCAAGGACCTAGAAATAGAAATTCTATTTAACCCAGCAATCCCATTACTGGGTAAATATCCAATGGATTTTAAATTGTTTTATTATAAGGACACATGCACACATATGTTCATTGCAGCACTGTTTACAATAGCAGAGACTTGGAACCAACCCAAATGCCCAATCAATGATAGAGTAGACAGGGAAAATGTGGCACATACACACCATGGCATACTATGCAGCCATCAAAAACGATGAGTTCGTGTCCTTTGTAGGGACATGGATGAACCTGGATACCATCATTCTCAGCAAACTGACACAAGAACAGAAAATCAAACAATACATGCTCTCACTCATAGGTGGGTGTTGAACAATGAGAACACATGGACACAGGGAGGGGAGCATC